AGTACCAGTACGAGTACGAGTACGAGTACTAGTACTAGTACTACCACTACCACTACGACTACTACTACTACTACTACTACTACTACTGCAACAACTATCTGTTGAGGGAATGGTGGACCACTTATCTTCGGCCTGTTATGAAATGTAGTAGGACTAAGCAAAAACGCTACATACATCCCTCTAAGCCCCAAGCAATACGAAACACCCCATCAAGCTCACGGGTCAAAGCCCCAGCTTCAAACCCTTTTTAAACTGCAATGCCAGAGATGTCCAGCTGTCCCTGCAACGAAACTGCCTCAGCACCTTCAAATCCGACATCTGCAAATCATGAGCAATCCTAAATAAAGCACGGTCTTCTTCGCCTTCAGGCTTGCAGTTGCCCAAAGATCCCATCTCATGATCTCATGTGGATATGTAGGCAGCAACCCAGCCCAGGACCTTCTAAGGAGGAGTCCCAGCAACGTCTCTTTCATCTCCGGCCTCGTGATGAGGACTGGCGACTGCGCTCTTCCTGGACAAGCTGAACCCAGAATAGTTCGTGTAGCAGCGAGCACCAGGCCTTAACCTTCTGAGGTGGCTCTTCAAGGTTGTCTTACAAGCTCTTTTGCAGCAGTACTGCCCCTGCCAGTTGCCGCTTTCGGGCTCTGGCGGCTTTGAGCGGCAGACCCTGACTCATCGTAAATTATTGCAAGCCTCACATGAACTCCGGGAGGATGTCACGGTCGCCGTACCATCAGTGGCAGTGGCATCGGTGTCGGCATCCTGAAACTTAGCTCAAGAAGTGTTGCTCGAAGCCTCTTCTCATATGAGGGTGTCCGGTGGGCAAGCTGATTATCATTTATGCTAGCGCCACGGAAGACTTCTATCATGACTCTGGGGGCTGTGGGGGTGTCGGCGATCCGGGAACTCGCGATTGGTCAGGATCGAGCCGTGAAAGGTTACACTAGATTTTGGAACCTCCTGCCCTCGAGAATCCGGTTTCTACACAAAAGACCGTCATCAAAGTCACCATCACAGCACCAGCGTCGTCACCATGCCTCATAAGCAACACTCGGGTGCTTGTTTCTGTCCGGTCACAACAACAAGGACCCCGGACGCAAAACGCTCCAGGATGGATTCGTTGGCATCAGCTCTTGTGCCAATCTGATGCCCCATATGATGTGGAAGCGGAGTGACGGTCTCTCCCCATGGTTGATCGCACAGTTTCGTGACGACCAAACGGGAACATGCCATTTTACTTTCAGCAAGGGACAACAGTGCCTGACTATGCCTGACTCACATTCGCAGAACCGAAACCCCTCGTTCAGTGAAAATCAAAATCATGATGACCGTCGTTGTCGCCACCGTCTCTCCCTTAGCGTGTGTGCCAGCGGCACATGCCTAGTTGTGCTGACCAATTAATACGACTAAGGCCTCCCTTTGCAAATCTTCCAAGATCCCCGAGTCCCAACCCAGAAGCACGTTGAGTGAGCGCACCTGTCCGATGCCAGCCGCCTCCAACTCCCGGAGCACCTGCGATGTGCGTTTTGCTTTGCATCCTGCCTTGGCAAGGCACTCTGGACTTCATATATTGCCCACGACGCTCGTGTGAGAGAGTTGGTGCCGGACAACTCTCACAAGGACACCTGCACAAACACAAAAGAACAAAACAGCGCTTGTACACCCACCATCTAGTTATATGGGATTTACAGTCGCTGTCCAGTCTGTGTTGGGCCGATGGTCACTAACCCCGCCCACCCATGGAGTGTTAGAGTCGCAAAGAGTTGCAATTTGATAATGCTGGGCGCACGAGCGGACCGAGCAGCCTGCTTGGCTTTGCTTGGCCAGTATGGCGTGCGACCCGCAAGACTCGCAGATCGCAGTCTGCTCCCTACGAACAGGTTGTCGAGGAGACTCGACAGCAGAATATGAAATCACTACATACTACAAGCCTGCGATTTGGAATTGCGAAGGGTGATATTATCCTGAGTTGAGGGCTTCAGTCTTGGGAGTCCGTAGCTCGTGTCTCAAAGCCCTGACGGACGGATCTAAGTTGCACTCAATGCTAGATCTCCGGAGGTCCCACCTTTGCAGCGGCAAGCCAGCCTAGGTTGTTTTTCTACCCATCTCTGAGTGATTGCTTGGCGGTTTCAGTGACTGCGGTCCCTATCGACATGAACCTCTGCAGTTGGGGGGTGTTCAAACTCTCCACAGAGCAGACCGAAGCCGCATTCTCTCTCCCGCGCAGCACGGCGCCGTGCTGCCCGCCTGGTCAAGGCCAAGCAAGGCAAGGTGTCTTTTACCCTGTGATTTATGACCTCGATAAAACCAATGCCATGCATTGACTGTCCAACCCCAGTGAGCCCCCATTGTCTGTTCACAATGTCCGCAGTTAGTTTTAAGCTGGAACCTGTAGCAGCAAACTCCGAAGACAGACGGTCTGTAGCTCGGCTTCGGCTCGGCAAGGTGTTGGACGAAAACTTGGCGATCCCTTCAAGTTCTTGCTTGCTGTGGTTGTGGAAAGACAGCTGAAGTGCAGGCTGAACCGTTGACCGCAAGTGCATGTTGGGCCTGCCTCGAAATCCAGCCTCTGAAAAAATTCTGCACCACGAGGATGCTCTGACGCGCCAGTCGGTATTCCACCTCGCATCGCCAACGCCGAAATCCTCACACCACGGTGAATCTCCCAGCAGCCAGGTCTGCAATGAGTTCCCAACTCACTGGTCACACTCCCGAAGCTTCGTTGGTCCTGTCTGCAAGGCGATTGCGGCAGCGATGCGCTGAAGGCAAGAGAGGCGCCTGAGCGGTTCCCCTGCACCAATGCACAAAAAACTTCGTAACCCAGAGCTGCGCACCATTACACTGTAAAGTCTTAGTCTTCACTTTTGGGTACTGCGTGGAGTTGGGCTACAAGTAATAATTAGCACGTGAACCGTCGGTCTTTTATCGCGACACTCTAACCAAGACCTCCTCGGTCCTGCTAGTTGCGGACAGCCGTAAGAATTGATTCTTTTGGACTGCTGACAAAGCCTCATGATCCGTACCGCTTCCCGGTAGCTTCATAAAAGAAACACCTTCCGTCACCGCTGAAATAAAACGGGGCACTGCCGCTCCAGGAAGCACCTGAGGGTTGCCTGTCAAGCTACGATCGCTCATGGCGCACACTGCGAAACAGACAGAGACAGAGAAGTTCGTGTTCTCTTGTCGGACATTGACTCATTGATTGACCAAGGAATGGTGACTCACATAGTTCAATTGGTCTGTGGGTCTTTTCCCATTGACACCATGACCGGCAACGTCACGTATTTACCAGCAGCTTCCAGAATCGACATTTAAGCAGCGAGCATGCAGAATGATTCAGTAAACAACTGTTCCCGAGCAGCCACGCGCAAAGGAATTTGCACGTGAACTGCCGGCGGCCGCACAGCAAGAAGACACCCGAATTTCTGAAAAAGCCATTGTTAAGAGAGAAGAGCCACAAGCAAACGGCAGAACGTCAGCGAGAGCTACAAGAGAAACGTGCCAAAACAGTAGAAGCCACGAGTAGAAGCCTGCCTGCATGCGAAGCAAGGCTACGCGCCGCAGCTTCCTTGCACGCCAGGCGCAGCGAGCCCGAAAAGCGGTCTGCAACACGAGGCTGGCTGCTGTGCGCTGTTGCCACCAGCGCCTCCATAAATATCGGGGATATGGCTGAGCTTTCGGCTAGGCTTAACTCTATAAGGCAAGTGATCGAACCGTTGAAGGCATTGCGGGATCATTCGGTCCATTGATATACAAGCTTACCATGCTGCAACACAGGCAATCGCGCTCGTGTACAAAGACATCTGTGCATGTCAACTGCAGCAAGCAAATCCTTGCACCCAACAGACAGAACGGCTTCCGCTTTCATAAACCGAGCGCAATGAGCTGTTGAACGGCCCGAGCCCTGCCCAACATCATCAGCAAATATCAGTATCGTCTGGTTTCATCTGGTTTTGGCTGAACAGGGGACGCATTGCGCCAACGTGCAATTCCGGGCTTCGGCCTCCAGCACTGCAGCATCCGGAGCTTCATTCGCCGCTCTTTCGCCACACACCGCCCTTGGAGCCCTCGCCAGTGCTGCTGGACCTTTGAATAGGCTGGCCTAAGGTGTTCCTTGACAACACCAAAGTTGATGAAACTGTCACCTCCACTTCCTGTGATGAGGGTTTAACACATAGGACTGTAAGACCCTCACTTGGGGAAGCTCCGTGGTCCTACGAGTTGTTCGCCAAGCTGATCCGAAAGGGTTCTAGCACAAGCCACCCCAAGAGCAACATGGTAAGCCATGCGAGTCTCAAATGTTCCCGCGTCCCCTACACTCTAACTAACCAATGGAATCTTGCCCCTAGAGCACGACAATTGAGCTCCGAAGCCATCAACTTGCAGAGCGAGTTTTGCGAGTAAGGAACACGACGGGCAGCAAGATGACCGCTTTGCAGAAACAGGAAACGGCGCCAGCGTGCCAGGGACAGGGCAAAAAGAAGCCTCGTGGCCGGCAGCAGAACGGTCCTGCACATAGCTATCTGAATCTGTGCATTTCCCCCCTTGCTACTTCCATACCAAGTATATTCGCGAGATTTCTGCAAGTCTCATTCCTCAAAGCTTCAGGAGCTACGCTGATCAACCTCGCTTCCAAGGTGCAGGTGATGCACATGCACCTTCGCCGAGGCAGCCCTGAAAAGATCTCTGTGACTCTATGCACCATGCAGATGTTGCAACCAATCGGGAGCCTGACGACCACGGACAGGTCTGGTGACCAGTTTGGAGACACTTGCTGACAGTCTTGCAGACTTTCTTCCAGCAACGTACTACTACTGCTGCTGCCGCTGCGACGACGACGACGACGACTACTACTACTACTACGACTACGACGACTACGACGACTACGACAACAACAACAACAACAACTACTACTACTACTACTACTACTACTACTACGTACTACGTACTACGTACTACGTACTACGTACTACGTACTACGTACTACGTACTACGTACTACCTACTACCTACTACTACTACTACTACTCTACTACTACT